TTTTCAAAAAAAAAAAAAAAAAGACATGTCTTCAAAATTCTTATTATTAAGTGTTGTAGATAGACAATGTACTAAAATAACTGGGTGTTCACTCAAGCTTCACGTGATCATAAACCCAACAGTACCTTAGCAATTTCAATATTTCATTAAGAAGTTAAGGATTTCCAATCTCAACAATGTAAAAGACAATGGATAAATTGCCACGACTTAAAGGCCAACATAATAGATAGCTTTGTCTTCATATCAGATATGCTGTACATAGATTAAAACTGCCACTGTGCCTATGTACATGTACGGTCCAACGAAAGGAAAAAGAAATTTTATACTAAACAGTTAAGAAATTATCTAGACAAACCAAAGGTCAAAAGGTCATTTTTGTATCATAGCATACAAGTTAAAGAAAGGACCTACTTGATCGTTCATGATTTTATTCAGCTTAAGCTCTAGCTTCACCAGATGGAGATCAATCCTATCTCTGGTTACCGAATCCCAAATACGAAGCATAGCTATCCAGACATTATATAGCATTCTCTGTGCCACCAAACAAAGAAAAAGGTAAAAATGTTAAAATTTGTCGTCTACAGGGAAGTTATGGCAACACTGACAACTAAGAATGAGACACAAAGCAACAACTCACACGGAGATCCACAAAAAGTTATGTAGCTTGAATTTTATTTGTAACAAATATCATAAGATAGACAAGTTACATACAGGACACTTCAATTTCAAAACTAGTTTAACCACTCATTCTTTTCCTTAAAGATTTTCTTACATCAAACGGAGAAAAAATAACTGCCTTATACAAACAAAATATTACTCGAAGGAGTCATATCAATGGAAGTAGAAGTGACAAGTATTTTGGTCACTAACACAAGCTAAACGGTCTTTAATTCTACTTAAATGGACATTGTAATGATATAACATTGATTTTAAAGTCGTACAAATTCTCCAAAAAGGATAAATGGAAATCATAAATAGAGGGTAAAATACATCATATACTAGCCAAACAATATGAAGTTATTTTGTGTAAGTGCTATAGAAATATTATAAGCATCAAAACCTCCAACAGACAAACGAATCTCTCATTTCATCAATAAGATGAAGAAGAACCAAGTAATTGGTTGCTAAAATAGCTAAAGAATGTCCCTGCGTGCCAGTGAGATATCTATACAAGTAGAAAATTTTTAGCACAATATGACCGTCACATTGTGATGATAGCAACTGTAACTCACGCAAAAAACTTCGATCAGATAGATAAGAAAGAAGAGGTTATTAAATTCTACAAATATTAAATGCACACCTCTGCATCTGCTTTCTGCATGTCAAGTAATGCTTCTGCTCGTGCATTAGAAAATCTCCATTGCATATATCTATTATATAATAGCCGCAGCTGGTGAGCATCTTCAATATAATTAGCACCTTTTTTACCCTTAAAATCTGCAATGAAACTGAGCACCGAAGTTGAACTGTTGGATTGACTGGAACTAGTCTGCCGGGTTCGAGATGGACTGACACCCCTAGTAGGAGTTGATGGTCTTGACCGGGCTGGACTTGATCCTCTGGAAACAGAGGGTAATGGCACTGAGATTCTAACGGGTGAAGGTAGAAGACGGGATCCAGATGTTGGCAAAGACTGAGATCTGACAGCAGGAGTTGATTTTATCCTATCTGATAAGACATTAGAAACAAGCCTTGGAATTCCTGATCCCTGCGATGAACAATCGTCAACTGAATTTGTTGCAATTTCCGTTCTAAGACCATCATCAAGTGAAAAATTCTTCGTAGAATCATTATTAGATTTCTGCAAAGGTTTGTTCATTGAATCAGATGCAGTTCTCCTCAATGAAGACAACCCAGTTTCTGTTCTAAGACCATCATCAAGTGAAAGAATCCTCGTAGAATCATTATTAGATTTCTGCAAAGGTTTGCCTATTGAATCAGATGCAGTTCTCCTCGATGAAGACAACCCAATTTCCGTTCTAAGACCATCATCAAGTGAAAGAATCCTCTTAGAATCATTATTAGATTTCTGCAAAGGTTTGTTCATTGAATCAGATGCAGTTCTCCTCGATGAAGACAGCCCAATTTCCGTTCTAAGACCATCATCAAGTGAAAGAATCCTCGTAGAATCATTATTAGATTTCTGCAAAGGTTTGTTCATTGAATCAGATGCAGTTCTCCTTGATGAAGACAACCCAATTTCCGTTGTAAGACCATCATCAGGTGAAAGAATCCTCATAGAATCATTACTAGATTTCTGCAAAAGTTTGTTCATTGAATCAGACGCAGTTCTCCTCAATGAAGACAATCCAATTCCTGGAAGTGGTCCAGCACTCCGAATTATTTTATCAGTAAGATCCACGCTTCGACTTAAGACATTTAACGACACCTTCCCACAAATTCTACTTGGCCATCTATGCTGATCTATAAGCCGGGTATGCAACCCATCCATTGGCTTAGAATTCTCCAACTGGTCAGTCACATTCTTCCCTTTAAGAGGACTCCTCTTTCTCTCCGGTGTAGGTTTCCTTGAGACCATAGGTGTTTCAACCAGCTTGTGAGTGACATTAGAAAATGGCCTCAATGTTCGATCAGCAGATGGAGAAGCAGGGACTGGTTTTTCCTTCTTACTGACAGGAATAGAAATTGAGTCAGACTGGAAAGAGACACTTAAACTCCGCATGGTCGAAGGCCATAAACCTTCAGCCAATCGACCGCCAGCTGTCCTTCTTGAAGACAATCTTAAATCAGTGGACAAGTCGTTGGCCGGAGTTGATGGACTCGATGGGGAAGGGGGCGTGGAGGGCCGCTTCCTCTCAGCCGATTGGGCTCTCTTCTGAACCAATTGGGAGGAAGTAGACACGGTTCTGGAGTCATTCGGCGATGCACAGCGCCGGGGCGAGGAACGCGCTGAGGGAGTTGGTGACTTATATCTAGAACTAACTTCCCTCGTCCGAGAGCGCCGGGTGGCGAGTACATTGTTTCTCTCAGCCGGAACCAGTGGAGGTCTTGGGGTCTCCCCTGTTGCTGAATGCTTCCTTATTGAATCTGATTCAAATACATCCATCCACACAATCAAAATCAGACCACATCGATAAAAATCTTCATATCAGAACACATCTGGCAGTCATGGATTTCTTCATTCATCCCGCAATCAACAAAACAGCACCAACTGCAAAAAGGGGAGAAAGTTCTCTGCATCATTTCTGTCACTGCTGCACACCCAAAAAGTGAAAACGGTACAGATGCTACAGATCATGAAAGCAACGAGTAAACCCCACAAACAAAAAGAAAGGAAAAGCATACATCTTTTACAGACCCCAGATCCAGCTGAACAAAAATTTAGCAATTACAGCAAAATAACGCAAATGGGTGCTTTCTCTTCAAGCGAACCCCAAACCGAACGAGATCGGGCAACAAAAAGGAGGTCAAGAACACGTTATAGAACATCTGCCACTATAATACAATTAGTAGCGGAAAACAGAGAAAACTGCCACAACGTGAACAAGCAGTTACCAATACCATAGGAGGTTTAATTGTGGTGGTAAACCACATTTAGCAATTAGCGGTTATGGGCTAGGGGTCCCCTTGGACTTTGAGGCAGACCGTGGCAAGTGGGGTTATAGTCTCTCCAGTGGTGGGAGTGTAGGATAAGACTAAGAGGGAGTTCAGTGTAAAAGACTAAAAAATAGTGTTTTTCCCATTAGTTTTCTCACGGGAAGGCCAATGTCAGATGGGCTGGAAATAGGTTTCACTCAACCGCTACTGCCTACTCATCTTCTTCTCTCTACACTCCTTTTCACGATGAAAAGACAGCAACTTCAAAACTGGCAGTGGCAGAACATTAAAATAAACCTCACTCTCTCTTTCTCTCACTTCAAACTTGATATTAAAACTGAGTAAAAACAAGGTTGTAACTACTTTACCTTTATGAATAATCAATTTTACTGAATAATTATTTTTTCTTTTTTTTTTGAAATCATAGACTTCTAACAAATTTTATTGAAATTACAGCCTAGAAGTCTATGATTCTGATTTTGAAAATCAAAGTAAAAGAGAAAAAAAAAAGTTTCAAAAATCTCTCAAACACATCAAACTTTTCTAAAATATATGATGGACATCAATCTCGGGGTTCAATAAATAAATACTTAGGAGTTATCTATTTGTCCTTGTGTCCAAAGTTTACAGACAATTCAGCAGATAAAAATTAAATAATGAAATTTGTTTGTATTCACGAAGTTTTACTTGGTATGATTATTTGAAAAGGCAGAGCTTGGAGGTACTGATGTTCTTGGGGGAATGGAGGCCCACGTGCAGAAGAAATATTGCATCCCCATTCCCCAAGACCATGAATTCTACAAAAATTTCCAAACAAAATCCGAGAAGGATAATAGCAACGCAGAAAAATTAGTTACATAGGGTTTAGAAAAGAGCTCTAACAAGAATGAAATCTGAAGCCGATTTAGAAACATTTTACGGGACAGTCTCAAAAGTAATTCTGATAGAGAAAACAAGATATGAGGGGTAGTCTGTAATTTGAAATTAACAGGTTGTCTTTGATAATGGAGACAAGTTCTGGTTTCCCACTGTTCATGACGATCTCTCTGCGGAAAAGTTAAAAAGAAATCTCAGGGAGACCTGAAGTGAGAGACAGAGTTCGTCTGACTCCAAAAACATTCAGAATCTCTTCACTAAAAAACAATGAAATCGACGGTGAGTACCATTTACCTACCGTCTCAATTAAAAACTTCTCTCCCTGTCTTTTTCCTTATTCGATGATCCACAAAAAGAGGACGAAGCAGATTAAGCAGCAATCCTCTTCGATAAGAAAATGAATCAAAGATGAGAAGAAAGAAAAAAAAAATCCCCAAATTACGACAAAATTGCCGCCTCTTTTAACCAAAAAGCATTTCCATAAATTTTCATCCAAACATCAATTGATTCACTCAGAATTTCCAGGCAAACAACAGAATCAAACTCGAGAAAGAGCTAGGGCGAGAATTTTCTCACCTCTATCAACTGTCAGAGCAGCCAATCGAGAGATAAAAAAAGCTCCAAACTCTTCTTCCACTGCACAACAATCCACCAAGAAAATGCCGACAAAAATCCAATCACTTCGATCTCGTGAAGAGTGATGAATCGCCGGAGAGACAGCGGCTGACGGAAGACTCGCCGGCGGGCAAATCGGCGGTAAAATTCCTAGGGCGAGAGATTTTTTCGATTTGGCCACTGATCGACGGAGAGTGAAGATATAGATCAAGGAAATTAATCTTTGATGAAATTTATTGGAAAGAAATGAACTAGAATCGCCGCCGATCGGCGACGGTAAAAGAAAAAAAAACGAATAATAAATAATTGAAAAGCGGAAAAACAAACGGTTTCGGTTAGGAATTTTTGACGCGGTAGGGACCGCCGGCGGTCGTTGTTTTGGCGCCACCAACTTTCTCGAGGCAAGGTTGGTATTATAATAATGATCAATTATAATTATTAGCATTATTATAAGTATGTTTAAATATCTTTTTTTTTTTAGTTTATCTTCGTCTTATTTCTTGAATTTTCAAATTTTTTTAATTTACTTTGTAAACGTTAAAAAATAAATTTCCCTTTTTCATTGTTTTAATGGCATATGGTGTAACTAGTTTAACTGATTAAGATATTTAAATCTAATTTAATACTTATATTCTTAGTCTGACCAATACTTAATAGTTAAATTTTAATGATTTGTTCGATAACATTCTCTTTTATTATTTGGTTTATCATTTTCAAATTTAATAAAAACATTATTTTATCGTAAGACAACCTACAAAATTTGATTTTTATCTCTTTCAATTAAAGTTTATCAAACATTCTTTGTCATCGAGTGAGAAGTAACATAAATTCAACTTGATAAGTTACTTATAATTATTAACTGCTTTTATTAACGCCTTGTTTGATATATATTTCTTTTCTTTTCTTTTAAATGATGTATCGCCATTTCTGTGTATTTTTGTTACATTCTATAAAAACATAATTGAAAAATTAGACTAATTTTGAAAAGAATAATAATTTTTTATAACTACTTTTATTTTCCTTAGTTTTCAAAAAGTTCCCTTATATTTTGAAAATGTTTTTAATAAATCGATATCAAAAAAAAGAAGTGCATAGTGTTCCAGGCTCTAATTTAAAAAACAGATGACAAAAAGCGAATAAAAAACGAATGACCATTAAATGGGACCAACTACGTTAATACAAATTTTCAAATTTTGACTTAAATTTTGAAGACCACTTTAATATAACCCTACAACAAATACAACAAAACAAGGAATCACATAAATAAAAGTAGTATTTATAGATTTAAATTTTTAAAAACAAAAAAAAAAACAAATTGTTATGAAATAGGACCTAAACTATGTTAAATTTAACTAAGAATCTTGAACCATGATTAAATTTTTCTAAGAACTAGGAATCAAATTGACAAAAATATTACAGCATGAGACTCAAAAGGTAATTCAATTTGTTAAATACCAAAATTAACACAAAATGAAAAATACTTGTAAAAATATCAACATCAAAATGGTAGATAGGCAATGATGAAGGGATGGAGAAGATAACTGATAAATGGAGGTCATGAGTAGTGATTAGTTTGTTTTCTAAGTAATGGAGGAAAATAGTAAAATGTAATTTTCACAAAAAGAAACAAAAATTATAATATTATTTTAGTTTCCATATTTTAAATTTTAATTCATTTTAGTCCCTGTAATCTTAAAAGGAATCATTTTGGTCCCTCAATTTAATTTTTAATTTTCTTTTATCACAATTTCAACGACACACTATACTCAATATATATATTTTTCATTTAACAATGACTTTTTATTAAAGAATTTTCATGAGGAGAATTTATATATTTTTTACCAATGAGGACTAAAATGGTTACTTTTTAGAAGTAATGAGACCAAAACGAACATTTTAAAATATATAAACTAAAATAAACATTTTTTTAAGTACATTGGCTAAAAAGTTAAAAATATATGGACGAAAATAATATTTTAACAAAAAAAAATCATTTATTTGTCTTTTAATTTTTCTTAATTTTGGAATAATATTAGTTTGAAACTTTGAAACAAGTGGGTAAAAAAAATTTTCCTAATCGTCTACAAAAAGGAGCATGACAAAGCACCGTGGAACTGCATAATTGATGTTCCCGAAT